GAGCGTCAGACCAAGACCACCCACGCTCGTTGTCAGGAGCAAGCAGTCAATACTTGGGTCCGAGTTGAACGTCTGCACGACGCCATGGCGTTGACTAGCAGGCGTTGATCCATCGAGCCGCATGTATGTGACTGACGGCATGAGTAAACGGAAGAGATCTTCCTCGATGATATCCAGCATCTGGCGCATTTGGCAGAAGATGAGCACTCGGTGCTGTGATGAGATGTCCGTATCTTCCGCCGACTTTAATGCATCGCCATCTTCGCCGGCTGCACCAATGCCACAGTCGTTTAGTAATTGCCTAAAGTAATGTATTAGTTAATGAGCTAGCGGTGGGTTGACTTTCCAAGACCCACCTCAACGCAAGCAGCTTCGGTGCATGTCGCACATCACGCATGCCCTTTGAAGCCCCTTCTCCCTTGGTTGAGCTCGAGAATCGTTCAACTAGCTCGGCCTCTTGCTTGGCATCTTTGACGATGAGCGCAGGATGATTACACAGCTTTCGCAAATATTGCAACGACTGGAATACGTGCTGTTGGTTCGGATTTGCTGATTTGGTCGTGACCGCGCCTTGGGCAGTGCTCCCAGCTTGAGACTCTGAGAAGGCATCGTACAGGTATTTTTGCATGTCAGATAGCTCGCAGTAATGATCTTGTATAATCTTTGGCGGCAAGTCATTGAGCACTTGTTCCTTTAATCGGCGCAGCAAGAAGGGCAAGACTTGTTTATGTAGCGCCTCGAGAGCGAGAGTTGCTATACCTCAAGTTAGTTTGCGAGCTATAAGGTGACATCAATACTAACCTGCTTCACGAGTCTTGGCCGATGCCTTTGCATCCTTGTTCGCCAGAATCGGCTTCCCGAAGCGCTCGTTGAACTGCTGCTCCGTCCCAAGGAATCCAGGCATAAGGAAATCAAACAAACTCCAAAGTTCCAGCACGTTATTCTGAATTGGCGTCCCAGAGAGCAGTAACCGATGGCGCGCGTTGATCATCTTGACAGCTTGCGTAATCTTGGTCTTGCCGTTCTTGATCTGATGTCCTTCGTCCAAGATACAGTAATGCCAGTTGAACTGGGTCAAGTGGGCAATATCGTTTCGCACCGAATCATATGACGCGATGACCACGTCTTGCTGCTGAATCTGGTCGACGAGACGTTGGCGATCGCGGCTGGTTCCGACGTAGCGTAGTGCTTTGAGGTTGTTGGTGTATTTGGTGATTTCGGCGTGCCAGTGTCCAGTGAGTGTC